TATGGAGAGTCACTATATGGAGCGTAAATAACATTACAGGTATACAGTGGCCGCCAATTAATTTTTTTTCGGGCACTATATGGAAAATCCACTATATGGAGAGTCACTATATAGAAAGTTCACTGTATATAATTGTCACACAAATAATTTAACATAATTATGTAAGTATTACTTACAAATTTAAAATTTAATAAATAAATTTATAAATTATAAATAGTTGTAAACAACTCACACACAGCAATGTTATACGTTAACCACAATTTGGGTATTATTCAACGAATAGATTAGCATTATATACAGATTTAATACGAGTCCATAGGATTATCATTGCCCATGTTATCCCTATGTCATAGATATAGCATTACCCATAGACTTAGCATGTTAAAGTATAGCCATATATTTATGCTGTGAATGTGCCCATGATTAAATAAGTAAAAGTTAATAGTGCGTGATTGCCTGTATTCTTATATAACCAATTTGCAACAAAAGTTTGTGTATCATTGTATATATGATCCAGATTTGTTTACAGTTTATACAATAAATTATATATTATGTTGCATTATGTTGTAGTAGTTGTTTGAATGAGAATAACCGTATAATTCATTATAACTAAAACTATTGAATTAAATAAATTACAAATGCAACAGTCATAATTCTTACATTGAATTTTTATTATAAATAACTTATATAATAATAAAAACAATGATTTTAATAATTGTCTCGATTAATTTTGTCAAAGTATGATGCTTTCAATATAGAATCTTTATCGTATAGATATTCGCCGATTCCTGGGCCCACTCGCTTCAATTGGGTCACGTGATCAGTCATTTCCTTGAGATCGATAACCTGTTCATTCAAAAAGTTGGACAAAAAGCATTCAATATAGAATCTTTATCGTATAGATATTCGCCGATTCCTGGGCCCACTCGCTTCAATTGTGTCACGTGATCAGTCATTTCCTTGAGATCGATAACCTGTTCATTCAAAAAGTTGGACAAAAAGCTGCTAAATTGGGAATCCTTTAGACTTTCGGCCAATTCGTTCTCTTTCAGTAGATGTTGCTTGATACCCTGTTCCACGACTATAGACTTTGCCAGTGCCTCCAGTGGTGTCCAGCCGTCCTGTTTTGGATACGCAGGAATGTCGCCCAATATGACACGACCACCACGTTTGTTCTGGTATTCCATGAACTTTCTAGCAAGTTTCAGCAGATCGTCGGCCCTACTCTGAAAATACGCGTGAAACCCTGGCAACGCTACGCTCTCGCGGTTGAAGTACCATGCCTATTTGAAGATGGTGGTATGTTATATAAATGAAAACAATATGCATAGTCTGACTGCGAGATAATTGCATTGAATGCTTGTGTGATAATAGTTTATGACTATAGGAATCAAAGTGTAACATTTAATTCGTGCTAATGACTTACAGTAGTAGCCCGAACATTTTACGTTTTAGCTATTAGCAAACATATTGTTTTAATAATAAGCATTTATTTTGGATAACATGCGACATATAAAGTGAGTGCATATTAAGACAATATGCTTAATAATAGCTAAAACTTGCATTTATAAAATATTCTGCCGACTTTGCTAGGTCAAACCTGAATTACAATCACATCCGCATTACTTACAATTAGCACGCAAACAGATTGCACATTATGCTTTTTAATTATTTATTAAATAAATTAATTATTATAGTGTATATATGTTTGGGTTTAATGGCAACTTGTATTTAATTACTAGTCTCACCATCTGTTCGTAGAAGTAATAGGCCATGAATTCACTGCTCGTGATATTATTGATGGCGGACTCGATTTGCGGGTTGAGGTTCTGTTGTGTTTGGCTTTCAGCGACATTCTATAGATTATTTCAAATTGAGCATGTTTATAATATTGTATTGACATTAATCTTAAAACTTACTATGTTACCAAACAATGTTAGGCCTATCAACACAATTGTTATTAAAAGTTAATTAAATATTGTAAAGCATTTCATTAATTTAGTACTAATAGTATTTATATGATTGTTTTTAACTTACACATTACCAATAACGAACAAATAGTAACACTTGACATTGTTAGTTTTGACATAGTTAATTCCGTGATCAACTTATTAGACTTACAAACTGTGAATGACTATATCAATGTGTTATTTGCAAAAACACATATTGTATTTGTTTAATTAATTAAAACGATTAATTAATAAAAAAAATTAATAATTAAATAACATCTACATGTAGGGCTTTATTAATTGTATTTAATTTGTATGATTTAAAATCGAAACAATATTACTACTAAACAATATTAATGTTTACGTAAACACCGCTTCATTACCATCGGAGGAAAGTAGGCTGTGTTGGTATAACAAGGAGGTGGGAACCTGGCTATGTAAGTGCAGTTATACTAAATTCATCATATTAAAATTAAATAAGTAATCTTACTCATTCTTGCTGACTAAACAGCGGACATGTATAGCGACGCCTGGCTTTACGACTACGAAAACAAGGACCCGACGGTTGAGTCCCTTCAGGAACAGTACCGGTATATCGAGAGTGTAATTAACAAATCGCTGGATCGCGACCACCAACACAGCCAACAATACGAAGACCTATCCATTGCCAAACTCCCTGTGTCTCACTTTTTGGGTGATCAAAAGCCTCCGACATCTCTCTGTATAGATCCCGTGCCTAAAGACAATTGCGATTCAATTCCCTACACAAGTGCTTACGTGAATAGACAACAAAAGCAGATTTTGTACGCAAAGGATATCCACGAGAAATATAGGTATTTTTTGGCCAAATATTGTATTTTTTACTCTAATTCAGGATAAAAACGTGTGGTTTATAAGATCATTATTACCACTCTTGTGCAACCATAGTTATTTTTAAATTATTGTGTATTTTATTATTGTTTAGATATGTGTCTGAATTAAATGCTGTGTTGAGAGGCAGACAATATGTGGACAATGTTTTACGTGAATTCGTCGATAGTATTAAGCATTTGATTAAAACTAACGTGAATTCTGTGCTAAACGCCAAACATCGAGAGCTGAACAATAGAAAGTGTTATCGAAGTTTTGTCGACACTTTTAATAATAAGTGTTTTAATATAAATCAGGTATTAATTTATTGTGTATTCATATAATTTATTTAACAGTTGATTGTAATTATATATTTATTTTTAAATCCATTAGCATTTGTATTCATCAAACAAACTGTTTATATTTGTAAACATTTGTGAATCTTTGGGACAGACGAGTGATGCGGACATTGCTGTCAATCATTTGATGGCATTGTGTAATAAATTTTAACATTTTAAACATGAGTTTCTAAGCATTCGTTAAATAATAAACTTTATATTGATTACTATTAACTGTTATTTATATTGAGTTTAACTACTATTTTAATATTAATTGAAATTAATTTTGTAATTTAAGCTACTCGTATTAGACTTAATAAATTATTGATAAATGATAATAATTTTGTAAATTAAAATTTAATTTTAAATTTTAATTAAACGATTTATTTTAGAGATTTATTCTAAAACATAAGTAATGTTACAAATAATTTGTGTGTTAATTAGATCAAATAATATAAATGTTTATCTTTATCAATTACTGTGAAAACCTCTTGAGCATTAACCAGTGAGATAATTACATTTATAAATTAAATGATACAAGTTACATTAAATGATTATATCAAAATTAATATAAATGTACATGTTAATCAATCATATTTTAACTTTTGTTAGAGAATGATATTAAAACAAGTGTTAGAAAAGATATTGAAACATCTTATAATTATAACACCAAATAATTACTATAAGATATAACAACATAAACTTACGGCACCGAAGTTTGGCCCAACAAATGGGTAGTGCTGTCGGGCGCCCACAGACACAAAACATTGGCCGCTATATTTTTGGCATATAGTGTCCCTTAGCGTAACCCAAATGTCCTGGTACGTTTCCATGGTATAACCCACGAGTCCACCACTATTACCATGGTTATCTATCAATGGCATGCAAGTGTACAGCGCGTCCAAAGCCACTCCTATAATGAATTTTTCTATTGTCTAATCCAGGTTTGCACATTTTTGAATACATGTGTCAATGGGTCGGTTGTTTGCGTAGGGGTTTGACTGTACAGTGCGGGCGGTATGTTAGTAGTCGGGCTGATATATAGACTCGTGATCTTTAATTTGGTTAGAAAATTTACATTAATTACTTAATAGTATTTTGTTCACAATAATTTTTATTTTGAATATATTTGTTATATATAGAATCTCAATTTTTCGGGACTAAAAACATACAAATTCGGGAGTATACATAGCCAAAATCGGGAAAATTCGGGAATTACGTTTTTATTAAATTTTCACATAATAAGTGATTTTTAAAAGGTTTATATCTACTTACGAAGCAACATAATGACATTTATTGAGGCAAAAATAATTAATAATCATATTAATATGCCATTTGTATCTCATGTTTTATATTGTAGGTAAACATTATGTTTAAAAGAATTTGTTTTTTATACCATAATATTTTACCATAATATACAATGAATTGATTATAAATTATAGGAATTTTGCAGTAAGTTTTGGTATTATGTCAGCAAATTCATTAGAACTTTAATAGAAAATTCATATTTTTAAAAGATTTCTTCTTAAAAAGTAACTCCATTTTTATGTTAAAATGTAATTAAATCTATTTTTTTAAAAATTAATTAAACACAAGTCTTAAGTTTGCAATAAATAATTTTAAATAATTAATAGAAATTCCCATTAATTTGATCAAAAAATAATTCTTAAAGTGAGTTTATAGCAAGTAGTAAGTTTTTATTGTTTAGACTTTAAATCATATAAATTTATTACAATTAATAAAGCACTACATGTAGATATTATTTAATTATCACTATTTATTAATTTTTGATTAGTTTTTTATTCATTAAAAATTAAATGATATAACTTGTTAATTATTAATATATTATATATTGGTTTAAATGATAAATATGTTTCTTGAACGCCTTCTAATGTCGCTAGAATTATTAAAATTATATTATTGTTTAAGTTAACATTCTTAGGCACTAGAAACCAAGTTTCATCAAGATTGGTTAATTAGTTAAAAATTCTGGAAATTTTTTTTAAAAAAAGTCAGTTGGAATTAGTTTAACAAATTTGCACCAAAATATTTGGTTAAATATGATCATATTTTTAAAAGTAAAAATATTTTTTAAAAATACATGTTTGAAGTGATTATTTAGTTATTGGGATTTACCAATAGTTATCTGACAATAGTTTAGAGAAGATATAATAACTTTAACTTTTATGAAAATTTAATGCAAACCGACCGAACACAGGCCGCCAATCGGGTTGACTATTGATAATGCTATGGCCACAGTTTGAGTACCCGTCACTGTTGGCCATTGAATAGCATATCATTAAATACATTAAATATTAAAGATTTAAAAAGAGTAGGGGTTTTGTATTATCTTTATTATTGTTTGAGAATGATCGATTTTAATCATAATTCACCCATCATTTTTTCCAAAATATTTACTCTCCCATTAAAAAACCTTATATTGACGGGTGTCATATAAAATATTCTTGTGTCTTAATTATTCATAAGAATTTTATTAAACTTGGTTTCTGGTGCCTTAAATGTTAACTTAAATAATAACTCCATTTTGTAATTTTAGCAACACTAGAATGGGCTCAAGAAACCTATTTATCATTTGAACTAATAATATTGTGTAATCGTTTTAATTATTTTAAAAAATACAATATGTGTTTTTGCAAATAACACATTGATATAGTCATTCAGAGTTTGTAAGTCTAATAAGTTGGACACGGAATCTAACACAATATAACACGGAATTCTAAAAACTTACAATGTTAAGAGTTACTACTTGTTTGTTACTGGGAATATGTAAGTTATAAACAATTGTGTAAATACAATTTAAACTAAATTAATAATTTGCTATACAATATTTAATTAATTTTTAATAATAATTTTGTTGATAGGTTTAACATTATTTGCTACCGCAGTAAGTAATACAGATTAATGTCAATACAATATTATAAACATGCTCAATTTAAAATATCTATAGAATGTCGCTGAAAGCCAAAGACAACAGAACCTCAACCCGCAAATCGAGTCCGCCATCAATAATATCACGAGCAGTGAATTCATTGGTTATTACTTTTACGAACAGATGGTGAGACTACTAATTAAACACAAGTTGCCATTAAACTCAAACATAAATCTATATTAATTAATTTATAAAATAACTAACTAACAAGCAATTTGTACAATCTGTCCGCGAGATAAATGTAAGTAATGCCGTTGTTATTGTAATTTAGGTTTGACCTACCGACCTACCTAGTCTTAAATTACTATCACATTGGCATTTAATGCTCTTATCTCGCGAACAGATTGTGCATATTAATTGTAAAATTTTTATTTATATAACATGCAACAATCTTTCAAATAGGCATGGTACTTTAATCGTGACAGCGTAGCGTTGCCAGGGTTTCACGCGTATTTTCAGAGTAGGGCCGACGATCTGATGAAACTTGCTAGAAAGTTCATGGAATACCAGAACAAACGTGGTGGTCGTGTCATATTGGGCGACATTACTGCGTATCCAACACAGAACGACTGGACACCACTGGAGGCAATGACCAAGTCTATATTCGTGGAACAGACTATCATGCAACATCTACTAAAACAGAACGCATTGGCCGAGAGTCTAAAGGATTCTCAATTTAGCGGCTTTTTGTCCAACTTTTTGAATGAACAGGTTATCGATCTCAAGGAAATGACTGATCACGTGACACAATTGAAGCGAGTGGGCCCAGGAATCGGCGAATATCTATACGATAAAGATTCTATATTGAA